ATTCTTCCTCGATACAAACTTTTAGTACACAGTAATTTCACAATCAGTACGTTGCTTGCCACTTCAAACTTAACTACTTTTATGATACACGCTATAAATCACAGCGATACACAATCTCGATAACAAAACACACACTAGCTCGAAACAGAAACGTAAATTACACGGAACTCTCGTCATTCAATCAGTCCCGCAGGCTTTCTCTGCCAGGTTTATACACCAACAAAGAGGGGCAACTGGATCACACTCGGACTTCCCGGATCATTCGAGAACACCAGCGTCACGTGACTTCCGCTGTCTTAACAATATTCTGATATACGAGAGTATCGAAACTGGTTCCTATAAAACTCAACTTAACATTTAGTATTAACTGCATTTTATCATCTTAAACACCAGTGAAGTTTGAACTCAATTACTAATAAAAATTGTTCTATTTCATATGAATTGAGAAAATAAAACTATTCCTCTTGATAACAATTCTTTCTGAGACAGAGAAAAGTTCTGTGTCACAAATGACACTTACTTACTCATGCAGTACCTTCTGCAACAGGGGAAGTTATGTGTCACAAATGACACTTACTTACTCATGCAGTACCTTCTGCAACAGAGGAAGTTATGTGTCACAAATGACACTTACTTACTCAAGCCCCTGTTGCAGAAGGTACTACATGAACAAGTGTCACTTGTGACACATAACTTTCCCTGTTGCAGAAGGTAATACATGAACAAGTGTCACTTGTGACACATAACTTCTCCTGTTGCAGAAGGTACTGCATGAGTAAGTGACTGCCACTTGTGACACACAACTTCCTCTGTTGCAGAAGGTACTAAAGTTATGTGTCAAGTGACACTCACTTGTTCATGCCTTCTGTGGAATACGACATTAATGACTTTTATCTCAGTGTAGCATGAAATCTTTTGTTTTGCATTATCTTTTTAAATAAGCAAACTTTTCATTTTCCAAGCATTTTTTCTACTAAAAAAAACTTTTCACTTTTAGGTCAGTCGTTTGCTGCTGCTTGCTGGGGCAAATTCTAACAGTCGAACCAATCAGCTGGAGGAAACTCCTCTTATTGTCGCTGCTGCTCACCAGGGACACATAGGCGTGGTTTCACTATTATTGGAGTTTGGAGCAGATATTAATGCCGTGACATCAACTGGGCTGAGTCCTCTGAGCATAGCCTCCAAGCAGGGATGTTTAGAGATTGTCCATCTTCTGCTAGCTAAAGGTGCTAAGGTAGGCCATCACACGTCCAACTGGTTTGTCTTGAGTTGATGTAAATGTTTGATTAGCTTCTGTACACCAACTAAAATTATCATAAGTATTGTCAGGATGATGCAGCTGAAAATATTCCTTTTTTTCTTTTAAAGTTGCAAGGAATGCGGTTATCTTTACATTCAGCTATTTAATCTATACGTGACCTTACGAGTGTTTTTCATAGTTTAGGCTTGGCGAGGATAACTACAAGAAGAATACTGATTTAATTTGACACATAGATAAACCAAATGGACAAGACTGGAAGATGTCCTCTGGTGTATGCTGCCATGAATGGTCATTTGGAAGTGACCAGCAAACTTGTACAGTTTGAATGGACAGGAGAACCTGGACTGGAAAAAACAGCTCAGCAAGCTTTTGTTGCAACAGCACAGAACGGTCACATAGCTGTAAGTGTTTGTTCCCTCTTAAACTTTCCAAAAATTTAACTTAATATAAGATGCACTGCGTGTATTTGTTATATTTAACATTTTTCTTACTTTAAAGTCATGCTTATTGTTAATAATAGCGATTTTTAAGCTCTGGTCAGAATGAAATGTTACTTTAATTCTTTTCTTACTACATTCTACTCATTCAAGTGCAACTAAGTGAAATCTAGGAAGTAAAATATCTTAAAAATAAGTCAAACGACACAGCAATTAACTAGTTGTAGCTTTTAAATTCACATCAAAATGCTGAAACTAACAAGTAAAATTTTGCAAAGACAAATCACACCACACTGTAATAATCCAGTAAAATCCTGTAAAGAAAAGTTAAACCACACTATAATAATCCAGTAAAATCCTGTAAAGAAAAGTTAAACCACACTATAATAATCCAGTAAAACCCTGTAAAGAAAAGTTAAACCACACTGGAATAATCCAGTAAAATCGGGTAAAGAAAAGTTAAACCACACTGGAATAATCCTTTAAAATCCTGTAAAGAAAAGTTAAACCACACTGTAATAATCCTGTAAAGAAAAGTTAAACCACACTGTAATAATCCTGTAAAGGCAAAACAAACAAATTTGTAATTAACCAGAATCAGCTGATAAAAGCCAGTCAAACCAATTAATTAGTCATTAAAATCTGATAAAGGCAAGTCAAACCACTTAGATAGATAATTCAAGTCAAACCACATGGCCAATTAACTAGTCATTAAAACCTGATAAAGGCAAGTCAAACCACTTAGATAGATAATTCAAGTCAAACCACATGGCCAATTAATTAGTCATTAAAATCTGATAAAGGCAAGTCAAACCACTTAGATAGATAATTCAAGTCAAACCACATGGCCAATTAATTAGTCATTAAAATCTGATAAAGGCAAGTCAAACCACTTAGATAGATAATTTTTCATCCAAGATGCAAATCCTCTGACACTAACATCCCAGAACTTCTTTTGTTAATTATAAATCATTCATATATTTTGGACTCTTACCATGAGGCTTAACTTTATATTTCAGGAATGTGAGTTCATGTTGAGTATGGCTGAAGTGAAGATAAACACTCCCGATGATCTAACGGGCCAGACTGCCCTCACCGCAGCCTGTTTTGCAGGACATATTAAAGTCTGTGATTTTCTACTAAGATGTAATGCATCTGTCTTTGCTATCAACTCTCAGGGGGAGCCACCACTGATTTGTGCTGTAGTAGCTGGCCATTGGGAGGTAGTGGAAATTTTACTAAATCACAATGCTTCTTTAGAACAAACTAATAGCAAAGGTTGCACTGCTTTGATGATGGCAGCTAGAGAAGGACACCTGGGTGTTCTGGAACTTCTTATATCTAAAGGTAGGGTGCATATGTACAAGTAATTTTAATTCTTACCTGAGGTTAGTAATTTACACAAAATATACAACAACTGTTTTTTAATCTGCTAAAACTCTTACAAGTTTGTAGAGATTAGATTTAAAAGTAGAGTAAAACAGTGAGATGGCAAAGAGGACTTTAAAATCGACAAAAAAAAGTCAGGAACTGCTTTTCATGTTCAGGAAGAGATATCCCATGAAAAACAGTGAGATGGCAAAGAGGACTTTAAAATCAACAAAAAAAAGTCAGGAACTGCTTTTCATGTTCAGGAAGAGATATCCCATGAAAAACAGTGAGATGGCAAGAGGACTTTAAAATCAACAAAAAAAAAAAGTCAGGAACTGCTTTTCATGTTCAGGAAGAGATATCCCATGAAAAACAGTGAGATGGCAAGAGGACTTTAAAATAAACAAAAAAAAAGTCAGAAATTGCTTTTCATGTAAGTCAGGTATATATATGTATGTTGCCTTTTTAAAGGACTTCTTTAACATTCTCACAAAACTTTACAGTTAAAAGTATTTTTATGTTCATCAAGAAGCATTATTTTGCTTTCTTGTTAAAACATCTTGTAACTAAACAAAGTTCTTAAAGAAAAATTAGAACATTGTATAATTTAACCAATTACACCATCCTGGTTTTTTATTTACCAGGTGCCAGTACCAGTGCTACAGACAACCAAGGAATGAACGCCCTCTGCTGGGCATGTTCTAGAGGTCAACTAGAAGTAGTTCAGATTCTTTTAAGTCATGGGTCTGATATCCACCATACTGACAAACACGAACAAACACCACTAGACATGGCTGCCACTCAAGGAGATCCAGCTGTTGTACGTAAAGCGTGTTTATAGTTCTCTTGTAAAACTATTTAATGAAACTGAAATAGACATAACACATAATGAATTTTAGAATCAGTCAAAGCACATACTCACCCCCCTTCAGTTATAGCGTTTTGTCACAACTCGTTTATTAGTCCCTAATTTAGAACCCCCACCCACAAGGAGGCAACCACTCGGCAGTAACCTATAGTTATTTTAATAAGTGATGAAACGAACTATCTCAAGTTCATTGATCAAAACATCAAATTTTATGAGCAGTCGTTTACAAATTCTAATGTATAACTTAAGTGATTGCTCTAGTTTTAAATCAAATTAACGATAGTAAATATTACCCAATTTGTTCTAAATTCCCTAAACGTTTTACTAATATTCTGAGTTTGTAGTTAAACACAAAGCTACACAATGGGCTATCTGTGCTCAGCCCACCACCGGTATCGAAACCCGGTTTCTAGCGTTGTAAGTCCGCAGACATGCCACTGGGGGCTCTGAGTTTGCAATAAACATGTCCAGTATCGTTTATTAAAGTTATGTAGAGGGCGCTTTAATATATCTCTTTTTCAGTTTTAATTTCATGTAGAGATATATTTTTAATTCAATCAAGAAATAAAGACAATTACACTGTAGATTAATTAAATTAGAAATATTGTATCTTGGAACTCAATCTGCGTGATATACAGACCAAAGTTTAGTATATAAGTGTTTAATTTACAAGTGTTTAATATGATTAATGTTCAAAAGTATTAATATAGTAATTAATAGTAATTAATTAAAGTAGTGTTTAATGTATGAGTGTTTAGTATATAAGTGAAATAAAATATAATTAAAACTCCTCAAGAACTAAATATTTCTCTCAGATTAAAACCAATATTGTCTTGAATGAGTTCATTACAATAATAAACTCAATTTTTCACGAGATCTTGACTGAGGTTTCAGTATAATCAAGATTCATCATCATCTTTAGATTCAATTGCTACTAGACAGTGGTGCCACAACTGGTGGAAATGTGAGACCTTTGGACAGAGCAGTGGCCTGTAATAATTTGGATGCTGTATCGTGCTTTCTCCAGAGAGGAACCAAACTTGGTAAGCAGTTCTGTCTCACTTGGTTGAATTTTTAAGAAAGAACACATCAATTTCATTAGCAGACTTGTAATATTGTCAACAGAAATATCTAAACTGTACGACGTATTGTTTTCCTCTATTATAAGTTATGAATATATTTGCCTATATTTTGATAGGAATCAGTGTTCTTGTTGTTTTTTCTTCACAATAAGTCATGTTTCTGCAGAGAAGGGACGAGCAAATACTATCTGAGTACAAAATACGATATTTAACATCATGAAAACACGATATCAGTTTCTTAAATACTTTAAACGGAGGTAACATTGAACTACAACATTCTTTAAATGTTGCCCGGCATGGCCACCAGATGGTTAGAGCGCTCCACTCGCAATCTGCGGGTCGCGGGATCGAATCCCCGTCACACCAAACATGCTCGCCCTTTCAGCCGTTGTGGGCGTTATAATGTAACGGTCAATGCCGCTATTCGTTGGCAAAAGAGTAGCCCAAGAGTTGGCGGTGGGTCGTGATGGCTAGCTGGCTTCCCTCTAGGCTTACACTGCTAAATTAGAGACGGTTAGCGCAGATAGCCCTCGTGTAGTTTTGCACGAAATTCATAACAAACAAACAATCCTTTAAATAAACTTCTCTATTAACGTGTGGTTTTTACATATGTTTCAATAGAAAATACTATGGAAAAAGAAGACGATAACAACGGATTACAAGAGTCTCTTATGAACTTTGAATTCATCTCTTGTGCATTTTTACAACTGACTGAAATCTGACGAAGTGTCAACAAAATTTCAAACGCAACTTACTTACTAAAAACGAAGCTTGGAGCACAAGAATCAAGTTTTAAAAAACAAAAACAGTGTCGTGAAGGAGAGGAGGATCAAGCTCCTGCCTCCCTGCACGTATGCCCTAAAAGTTCCCTTTTTTTTTCAGTCATAAAAATTGACAACATCTACGAAAATATTCCACACCTTGCTTCCTACGAGTTATTAAGAAAAACAAAGATTTCAGCGTTAAAATGAATGACACACAGGGATTTTTTATGTTTTTACAGTGTGTGTTTGTTATATCAAAGCCTCATCAGGCTAATTTCACCGAGGGGAATCAAACGCCTGACTTTAGCTTTCCCAGAGGTCTTTACAGTACAAAAATAATTTTGATATACTATTAAGCGTTAATAATGAATAATTCACTTTTTTTATTTGAGATCGTAAAAATGTTTATAAGACCAGCTGAATAAAAATAAAAGAGGATACGTTTGCTTCTATGGTATTTACTTAATGTGTACCAAAAGTAACCCATAGTCTCCTCTAACATACACCACCCCTCCCATTACAAAACACGCCTGCCTCACGATGCTTCAAAAGTGTCCTTTTTGTCAGTTTACAAGTTTAATCTTCTCTACAAGAAATCACCTGTCCTGTTCTAGGTGATGATATTTTGTGTCCAAGACTGTGGTCGAAATTCGATATCGTGCATTTGATTTTTGTTAGCAGATGTTAAAGTTTTCATCCAATTATCTTGACGTATTGTAATTTCGTACACCAGGGCCTCAGACTTGGTCTATGGCTGAAGGGAAGACAGAAGTTTTACACGTGTTGCTAAAAAAATTATTGGATGATGGAACAACTTTATACAAAGTAAGTTTATTTGTTTTTATAAGATAAGATGTATATGTGCCATTAAAACTAAATAAAGCTCTCTGTAAAAATTGACATCAATCTTTCTTTATGGGCATGATTTACTGGCTTTAAAGCCATGGGCGCAGTCATGAGAAAGGTATTGTTCAATTGAGACATTATGGGGTATGTTTTGAAATGATCCCTCGCAGTTTTACCCATTCTGGTGAGGTAATTTCCGTTAAATAGGTAAGCGTTAAGAATGGAGGTCGTTAAATATGTTCATAATTGCTTTTCGTCACTTTATTAGGCTTGCGCCGGTGTTCTAAAATTGTTAAGCACTCAGTTTTACTGATCTGAATACGTGCATGGTATCCCATTAAGAGCAAGATCCTACGTTTGTAAAAGTGTTCACAACACGTTAAATAACTAAATAACTGCAGAAATGTATTCATATTTATTTAATATTGTATAGTTATGTAGAGGTTTATAAACGAAAAATTCATGTTGTCTCCTTATTTTTCACTGTTTCTCGAAGAGTGTTGTGTGTTTTTAATTAGTACTGTTTGAAAAAATGAAATGTTTGTTTTAATATGTAACTGCAGAGAGGTAGGCTTAAGGAAGCAGCTCATCGTTACCAATATGGACTGAGAAAATTCCCACCGGAAGAGACTCTGACACGAGAGTATCAACTTACCTTTCACCAGCTTAAGTTCCAGTTTTTAGTCACACTCTCCCGTTGCAAGCGGAAAATAAAAGTACGTTGGTTCACTGGTAAACGAGAACTTGGGCTAAAAATGAGCGTTGATATTTTATAAATTTTGTTTTATTTTTTCCTAAGCTATTAGATCATAATCATGGTCAGCTAGTTTCCAAACTATTTTTCAATATTAGTTTATGTAAAATATGTTATATATGGTAAAACTAATAGCTGCAGTATTCTTTCATGCAATTGACTATCAAGATCATTTTACCAAAAAAAAGAATACAGAATTTATATACTATAAATTTTATTCATACCCGTGTAATAATATATCAATACATTGTTAACAGATGGCGCCAGTGAGTACACTCCAGAAAAAGTGAATTGCATTAAGTTTCTGTTCGTTCTTCTGATTGGAAGCATAAATTAGTAGGAGATTTTAATTATGTTTTAATGTTTCCAAAGGACTTTGATTCTGCTATAGAAGCAGCAGAAACAGCGGTGGAAGTCAGTCCTAAAGCATTTGAGGGTTATTACACAAGAGCACGTGCCAAACAAGAGGTCGGGTAAGTACCAGTCTTTCCACAGTTTCATATCTTTACTGATTGAATAAGACTACCGAGAAATTTCTTGACATTTAACAATAATATCTATAGCTAAGAAGGCTGTTTTGTACACTTCAATATCCAGTGTTGTGATACGTTTGAAAACTTAAACAATGTATCGGAATAGCTAATGTATACGTATGTCCAAATGCAACAAATAGCATTATTTTTGCTTCTTTGAAGCATCGGATTACCTGTAATAACAAGGAAAGCTTCATGCCATTAGATATTTAAGTATCTGTAACTACCTGTTACCTAGAATAACAAGAAAAGCTGCTTCGTGCCTTTAGATACGTCAGTATCTGTGATTACCTATTACCTGAAATAACAAGGAAAGCTTCATTCCATTAGATATTTAAGTATCTGTGATTACCTGGATTAACAAGGAAAACTTCATGCCATTAGATATTTAAGTATCTGTGATTACCTGGATTAACAAAGAAAGCTTCATGTCATTAGATTGAAAAGTATCTGTGGTTAGAAGGTCGAACAAGACAAATAACTAAAAGTGATAAAGGGTGTAAGACAGATATTGTGATATTCCTGCACCCCTCATACGCTATTCAGATATACGGCATATTTACGTTGGGGTACAAATATTACTTCATTATTTTCATTCGGCTCGTACTCTCTTAGGAATTAGAAATGTCATTTCAGAGCATACAGTAGTAACTAATGCTCATTATCAGCATCACGCAACATTTAACATGTACTGATTTATTTATGAAATATTAATAAATGCTTTCACTCTTGCTACCTATTGTTCTGTCATTCACTTTAGTTAGCGCCTTTGTCTTTCTGTGGGTAGATAGCTGCTAGGTGGTATGTAGTATATGATTTTACACAGTGGTATTTTTCATTGGCAGCCAAGTGATATCTTGATATCATGACTATCTTGTATTTCCATAGAAAAAAATATAGTCACATGCGTAGCACAAATCGCTGAAGGGTAAATCTGACATTACCGATTTAACTAAGTAACGTGAACTTTATTCAATCGATACCAGATACCAAATCTCAGAATAGCTTCAGATCTAACTCTCCAATAAAGTCATCTGTTCATTAGGGGCACATAAAGTACACGGACACTGTGTTTTTGTTTTAATAAAGATTGTTTATTGTGATTTTTCATTTGTTACCAGCATCTCTTTATTTCTCGTAACTCAGAGATTGCGAATCTTGACGAATCTCCTGTTATTCTGTGGACCTATCTTGTCACTTATTGGAAATCAATGCTACCTGAGAACAGCACAATCTTTCAAAACAGGCATTGTTTGTACAAACCAATAGCATATTTCCAGAACTAGAGAAGAGGTTTGCTTCAAATTATAACCCCCAATCTGTAAATCATCTTCACTTTCATGCAACATTTTGTAATATGATGAGCAGTAAAACCCCTTCCTCGTACAAACATCAACACAAATATATTAAAGTAAAACCCCTTCCTCGTACAAACATCAACACAAATATATTAAAGTAAAACCCCTTCCTCGTACAAACATCAACACAAATATATTAAAGTAAAAAAAAACCCAAGTACTTATTATATCAGATCACAAACAATCTACTTCGATAATACTGCCCGGTCACGTGCTTTGTAAACCGTCCACTCTTGCTTATAGATGTGACACCAACATGTGAAACGCATTAGCGTCTGGTTATATGAGTAAATCACATGAGCTTCTTGTAATATATATTTTGATGGTTAATAATGCACGCCTAATTCTTGTCTCTGAGTGGACAGTAGGGTCAGTGAAGGTCGACTTACCCACGTGCGTTACGTGGGCATGATCAGTTTCCTATTCTCTTGTAACAACTGTGAATTTTATGACTGTTCTTTTTTTATGTAAACAAAAACCCTGAAAGATTGTTGTGATTAACGCGTAAACTTTTACACACACAAAAAAACCATAAATGCAAACTTAACCATTTTAATTAAGCTCATATCGAAACTCGGTTTCTAGCGATGTAAGTCCGCAGACATACAGCTATGCCATTGGGGGACACTAAAAATGTATATTCTAGTGTAAAGCAGAACTAATCTGTTAGCTTTACTTTAGAAATTTCGCGAAAAGCTACATAGGGCCTCCCCCCAAATAGTTGTCCCTAATCTTTAACTAATATACCAGAAGAAATGTAGCTCATTTGTTGTTGTTTTTCCGACAACGGGACTCGAACCATGAACTCTCGAGTTTCATATCGGGACACTAAACACTATGTCATACTCAGCCAAGAAAGACATGTCCCCCAAAATCACACCCCACAACTTCGAGGATTTAATTTGAAACATCTTTAGTTCAAAGTAATTGTAAAAATTCATAGGTGGTG